TTATGGACAGAAAAAGGGTTAGTTAGACTTACAGACACGGAAGAGAGGCCCAGACATGCTCTAGGGCTGCATCTCGGCGTTTACCTTATTGGAACACGGTTTGAACAGTTGGCTGCATTTGATTGGTCAAAACTCAGCAATTGGCACAGTGTTGGCTGTGGTCTGTCGACACTTCCACCTGCTACAGTTCATGAGGTGCAGAAAAACCCTTACGCCACACTTAAAATTATGTAAGGAGGTGGCTCTGGGCTAAACTTGATTTGACAATTTCTGTGCAATCTCAGGTGTTACAGGAAAGGGGCCCCAAGCCAGGCCCCAAGAGAGGGTTTTTGGATCTAGAGCAAGAAAGAATTTGAGGTGAGTCCACAGTGCAAAATGAAAGCAAGTTTATGAAGAAAGTAAAGGAATAAAGAATGGCTACTCCGTAGACAGAGCGGCCCGAGAGCTGCTGGTGGCCCATTTTTATGGTTATTTCTTGATGATATGCTAAGCAAGGGGGGGATTATTCATGCCCCCCCTTTCTAGACCGTGCAGGGTAACTTCCTGACGTTGCCGTGGCGCTGGTGGAGTGCGGCAGTGAGGACGGGCGGAGGTCACTCTCGTGGCCACCTTGGTTTGGCTGCTCCTTCACTGCAATCGGTTTTATTAGCAAGGTCTTCATGAGTATTTAAGGTATTTTGTGATGACCTCGCATCTCATCCCATAACTTAGAATGCCTTCACCATCTGGGAATGCAGTAGGTTTTAGCCTCATTTTACCCAGCTCCTGTTCAAGATGGAGTTTCTCTGGTCCACACGCCTTTGGTGTTTCCCCCCTCCCTTTTATAAGAGAACCCTTAATCCTGAGGGTTGCAGAGGGACGGAGATCCATCTTCTGTAACTCGTTCAGGCTGAATAGGGGTGATGATATTCTTCCCTAACGATGAGGGTCTCTTGCCTTCAGGGTAGAGAGGAGCTCAGTCAGAAAGCATCAGTATGCGTTCATAACTCTTGAGTTTTGACAGAAGGTGATGTCTGCAAGATTAATAAGTGTTTAAGAAAAAATTCAGTAAGCTTGTCCTGTGTTTCCATACAAAGAGTGTAACAGCAATATATTCCACAAGAGTAAAGCAAAATAAGTAAAGTTGTTCCAAGTAAGCTTAATTAGAAGGCTTTTATTGAACTGGGCAACTGTTGGAACCAAGCTGGTATGGGTTGTTAGCTGGCTGTAATGTGCCCAGAATTAGAACCCTGATCCAGATGTTCACGTTGCCCATCCCTCTGGTTTCTGAGCAGCAGCCAGAGATCACTGGTTGGTTCACAGGAATAAGCAGGGTTAGCCTAAATTGCAGAAACAAACTTACAAACAATGAATGAGACTAGAATGTAATAACAAGTGTACCATAGTTCTTGAAACATAATACTTCTCTCTCTAGTTTCCCATTTTTACTAAAGACAAATTATGGTAAAACTGATTTGCTTTATTATACTTGGCCTGATGATTTGTATAAAATTATTTTTCATATACGCTCTTTTTAAATTGGCTTTGATGGAACTCTGTTTCATAAGGAATCTCAGATAAGACTTTTTTAAAGCTGACTCCAGCCATAGGTTTGTACCCTTAAATACCTATGAGTTGAGTAAATGCTTTTCCTCTTAGGGCCAAGACAACTCGGGGCTTCTGGACCTGTCAGAAAGTGACATTCTTTACTCACCACAGGTCAGAAACCCTGCACAGGGACGACTGTAGGCAAGGTAGGAGGCCAGTTATTGGCTCTATACGTCAAGTTTAATTTCCTAAATGAAAGCACACTATTCCAGTCAAGGCCTTGACAAAATAACCAATTTCTCCAATTTTTGTCCTGTTACAAAAGAAAACAGATTCTTGTTGCACCTACGTAAATAACTATTTGCCATAAATTAAGAATACTCACAATCAGTTTCCAAATTCTGGAGAAATTAGGTATAAACAAATATGCTCCAAATCTTGTTTATAGGAGGATACATGCTTAACTGTTAAAAGCTATAAATTGCTCAAAATAAAAGTTTCCTTGACTTTGAAAAACAAAACAAAGGGTCAGCAATGTTTTAAGCAAAATTTAAAAGATTACTTTTAAACTAAAAGTAACCTTTACTACTTTTAGTGGGGCATGGTGGCACGTGCCTGTAATCCCAGATACTCAGGAGTCTGAGGCAGGAGAATCACTTGAACCGGGGAGGCAGAGGTAGCAGTGAGCTGAGATCACACCGCGCACTGTAGCCTGGGCGACAGAGTGAGACTCCGTCCCAGAAAACAAACCAATAACAAAACAACAACAACAAAAACCACAAAACGTCCCTGTTAGAGTTCTATAATTGATTGTAAACCACCTCTTAAAGAGGATTAAGACAAGGTAACAACTGTCTGCGGCTGACAAAACGTTTTAGGGCAGCCACAGTTAAATGATTGACAAGGAAATTTGTTCCCTCTGTGGCATACTATGATTTTACATTATTGCTGATAATGTACTCTAAGTCATATCAGAACTGTAGGAGTTTCCCATCATTTTGGAATATATACCAGTAACACTTTTATTCAAATACTTCCCAGAGAAAACCAAGCACCATTTTATACAGGACAAAGCTTCCTGTAGGATTTTTGCACCCAATAAGCCAAATGTCACTGTTGCGTTTGTGCATTATTGATGTCAAACCCAATTCTTAATAAAACCTTATAATAGATCTTTCCAATCTTAATCAGTTTCACCATAAGGTAAGATTGTCATAAACCTTTTATAACCCTTTACAAGTTTTTGTTAAAGAGCAGATTATAAGCAGATTTTTGCTCTAAGAAAAACCCGTTGTGCTTTTATTGCAATGTTTAATTTATAGAAAAACTGAATAATACCACAATACCCCTCTAATTTAACCAATGTCCACACATAGAATCTGTCTCTCTCTCTCTCTCTCTCTCTCTTTTTTTTAGATGGAGTCTCGTTCTGTCACCAGGCTGGAGTGCAGTGGTGCGATCTTGGCTCACTGAAACCTCCACCTCCTGGTTCAAGCTATTCTCCTGCCTCAGCCTCCCAAGTAGCTGGGATTACAGGTGTACACCACCATGCCCAGGTAATTTTTGTGTTTTTAGTAGAGACAGGGCTTCACCATGTTGACCAGGATGGTCTTGATCTCCTGACCTTGTGATCCACCCACTTTAGCCTCCCAAAGTGCTGGGATTACAGGTGTGAGCCACTGTGCCCAGCTGAATCTCTTTTACAATTTTTATAAACCTTCCACAACTGTTCAAACCTTTAGCTTTATTATATCTAATTTACAACACTTCTTTATCCCTTTAGGCAAAAAAAATTCACATTCCCATGCCTTCTTATAATTTTTTACCAAAAGTACATTCTATATTCCTTACATACCTTACAGGTAAAACTGTTTTTTCAGTAGTCTCCATTCCATATTACGATGTAAACTTTTATCGACTTTTACTTTTGGTGAAAACCCCGGGGAGTAAGCAATTTTAATTGTGTGCTTGGAGTGGGGGCTACCCTCGGGCTCACCAGGCAGAAGAGCAGATCAGGGCAGACTCTCGGGGTAGCCAGGGGCGTGGCTAGCTCCACCCAGCCCAGGACTTATCTTACAGAAGCAGGCAGATTTTACAGTACGAATCACAGTCACGTTTTATGAAGCATTTAGGAAGCGTTTGAATCGCATGGCATTGCTTGCATAAATTCCCTTTCACAAATTCTTTTACAACGTACACAGACCATCTGAGACATTTTTGGACTTTGTGACTTGCTCCAAACATCCCTCCTTTTAAACAACCAGACATTTTACTTTAGGACAAGAATTTAGGTCCTTTCTTATATAACATTTCTTTATAATCTTTGGACAGCTAGGGAATATGATGATTCCACATGTCCCCAGGCCTCATCTGGAATCTAATGGCTTTAATGTGAGTAAATTGAACAATTTTTAAAAGTTAAAGAAGCAGTTTATGACCTTAAAGCATTTAGCCAACTTAATATCTGACCTGTGTAATTTAGACTGTTTTTATTTTATCAACAATTCATTAACAATTAACAATTATTAAAACTGTTTTTGTTTCCCAAGGATTACTAAAGTTACATGAACTAAAGTACATTTCAGTTTTTATTTAGCTTTCAAAATATTTGATGTAAGTGCTTATTTTTGTTTAAACCAATTAATTAGAGTTTTTAATGTAAGCATTACACACAACACATATGCAGCTACACAGAAAGGCAGAATATTACTGCAGTGGTTGTAAGATTTTTAATTTGCCAGTTTTTAAGTTTTTTTAATTGAATTACTGGCTGTCGGGTGGAGCCCTTGGAAGAAAAGGGCCAGGAAGGGGGTCTCTGGTGCCTCCTGTTTTTCCCTGGGAGTGCAGGCTGTTAGAACTTGAATAGCCACTTTTTTTTTTTTTTTTTTTTTTTGAGACGGAGTTTCGCTCTTGTTACCCAGGCTGGAGTGCAATGGCGCGATCTCGGCTCACCGCAACCTCCGCCTCCTGGGTTCAGGCAATTCTCCTGCCTTAGCCTCCTTAGTAGCTGAAATTACAGGCACGCGCCACCACGCCCAGCTAATTTTTTGTATTTTTAGTAGAGACGGGGTTTCACCATGTTGACCAGGATGGTCTCGATCTCTTGACCTCGTGATCCACCCGCCTTGGCCTCCCAAAGTGCTGGAATTACAGGCTTGAGCCACCGCGCCCGGCCATTGAATAGCCACTTTTAATTAAACTGATTTTAACCATAGCAGTCTTTATAAAGTCTTTATAGAATTTCTTATACCCAATGGCTGATATTTCTGGCTTTTGAACTTACCAAAGGTAACCTCCCAGGTGTTTAGAAAAAGAAAAATTTAAGACAGTCTGCAGAGGAGAAGAGAATAGACAAGGTCACCCAGATATTAAACCAGAAATGAGTCACTTCCTACGGGGGAATCGAACCAGGACCACCAATGGGAAAGTGCAAAACCTTGGCTCCTTAGCTACAGCAGGGGCGAGCCTCCATTTCTCTTCCCAGCAGGACTCTAGAGCAGTTAACGTGGAGCTTACAAAGGCTTTTAACCCTTTAATATGATTATTAGAGCTGACTGTGGCAGGAACCCTAAAACTCCTGTTTCCCGAAGGCAAAGACCCTTTTTACCACCACATGGTTAAAAGGCCAAGCTCCCAAGGACCCCAAACAAGGTGGAGACTCTGTTCCGTTTTCTGTTTGTTTCAGGGAACTGCAGCCAAGTTTGTCACCGGCCAGCTTGCGGGGTCGTCTTGAAAATGAGGGTTACAGGTATTCCAGGCCGGGTTCTATCCTAAAGTACTCCTTGACACAGAAAAACAAATTCGTAGCACAAAATACACCAGCTTAAGCCTAGCCTTAGAATTCTTTTTTGCTCTAATCAAAATTTTACAGATAAGCTAAACACTGACTTTTTTTTTTTTTTCCCATTCATTTAGCCATTTGCACAGAGGGAGAGGCCAGAAATCTGACTGGTGAGAAATTCTTACCCTTTTGCCAGCATGCCAGGCTTCTGGGTCCCTTTCCCTGAGCGGCCCTAAGACCCGCTTGCCACACATGGGTCTGGGGGGGGGGCCAAGCCGCATCATAAAGGAAAATTACTTTTGTCGTTCTGGCCAGAGCAGAACACATGTGATAGAACATAGACACCAGCCACGCCGCGTAGCATGCAGTATCAAACTGGCGAGGCTGAAATTTGCCCCCAGATGGGCCCCATCATCTGTAATCCAACCTCCGACTTGGAGGAGTTTCAGCACGCAGTCTCTGGGCAAGATGGTCGCCCTGAGAAATGGAAAGAAAGGGAAGGAGTGAGAGAAGGCGTTGCCCGGGGCCGGCTGGGGAAGGTGAACAGCTCACAGAGGCCAGAGACGGACCCTCCCACCGCAGGGACACTGAAGAGTTCAGGCAGCGGCTTCTTGGCAGCAAAGGGATCTTTTTTCCAGCCGTCCCATCAGCTCTCAAGTGTCTCCTTTTAGGGAGAAAAAAGTCCCCCATGTCCCAGGACCCTGCACATGCCTAATGCTCTCACCCACAGCCACCAGCAGAGAGTGCAGGGCTGATTAATCCAAAGAGAGTGGCAGTTACCATCCCGCAGGGCCGAGCCTGTTCTTAGCCAAGAGGGACTTTATCCAGAGGGCCTCTAACCCCCTAAATCTTAGAAGGGACTCTAACCCTCCTAGGCTGGGCCTCTAACCCAAGGTCGGTCCGTACCCTTGCCTTGCATTACGAGGGACCTCTAACCCACTCTGTCTTAGGAGGGACTCGAACTCCCCTCAGCTGGGCCTCCAAGCCCCTCCCGTTCCCTACGCAGGTACGCACCACTTACCGCAGACGTCCAGTCAGTGCTGCAGCTGTTTCCTTTGGGTCGGGAGTCTCCTCAGTATCGTCCCCTTTGTGGTTCTCCAGAAAGATGTTACCAGACCCCACCACTTACTCCAAGTTAACCTTTGGGTTGGGGGTTTCTGCACTAGAGTCCCTTCTGTGGTGGCCAGAAAGATGTTACAGGAAAGCGGTCGCCATCCAGACCCCAAGAGAGGGCTCTTGGACCTTGCGCAAGGAAGAATTCAGGGCGAGTCCACAGTGCCAAGTGAAAGCAAGTTTGTGAAGAAAGTTAAAGGTTAAAAGCATGGCCACTCCACAGACAGGGCAGCCCGAGGGCTGCTGGTGGCCCATTTTTATGGTTATTCCTCGATGATACGCTAAACAAGGGGTGGATTTTTCTTGCCTCCCCTTTCTAGACCGTGCAGGGTAACTTCCTGACGTTGCCGTGGCATCGGTAAACGGCCGTGGCGCTGGTGGAGTGCGGCAGTGAGGACAGGCGGAGGTCACTCTCGTGGCCACCTTGGTTTTGGCGGGTTTTGGCCGCTCCTTCACTGCAGCCTGTTTTACCAGCAAGGTTTTCATGGCCTGTATTTTGTGCCGGTCTCCTATCTCATCCTGTGACTTAGAATGCCCTCACCGTCTGGCCTGTAGGTTTTAGTCTCATTTTACCCAGCTCCTGTTCAAGATGGAGTTGCTCTGGTTCACACGCCTCTGACATAGGAAGTTGCAAAGACTGCCCAGAGAGAGCCTAGTTCCCCCAACGGTTACGTCTTCCATTCTGTAGCACAACGTGACAATCAGGAAAGTGACCTCAGTACAATGTGCCCCGAGTTCCAGGAAGTCCACACCCGTGGACTCCTGCAGCCACCACCCCATGCGCCATGCAGAGCCCCTTCTGTCGCCGCAGACACTCCCCTGTGCTACGCCCTCGTGGACACGGCTGCCCTCCGCCGCGCACCACCAACTCCGGTAACTTCCAAACTGCCCTCCATCACCACAGTCTGTCATGGTGGGAAGGTCACTTACATGGAGCCACAGTTTGTGGCGTTTGAGACGGACACTTTTCCCTCGGCATAAGGCTCCTGAGACCCTGTGAGTTTTGTCTTTGTGTTGTAGTTTTTCACGGCGGGGCTGGATCACACTTTGTTTAATCGTTTGCCCTTTCAAGAACAAAAGAATTGTTTCCTTTTGTCGGTACTATAAATAAAGTTGCAATAAACAATCATGCATATTTTTTAGGTGTGTACGTAAGTTTTAATTTCTCTTGGATAAAGTCCCAGGGTTGCAATTGCTGGATTTTACGGTGAATCATATCCTTTTTTAATTTTTCTTTTGAGACGAAGTTTTGCTCTGTCGCCCAGGCTGGAGTGTCATGGCGTGATCTCAGCTCACTGCAACTTCCGCCTCCTGGGTTCAAGCGATTCTCCTGCCTCAGCCTCCTGAGTAACTGGGATTACAGGCACCCAGCACCACACCCGGCTAATTTTTGTATTTTTAGTACAGACTGGGTTTCACCATGTTGGCCAGGCTGGTCTTGAACCCCTGACCTCAAGTGATCTACCCACCTTGGCCTCCCAAACTGCTGGGATTACAGGTGTGAGTCGCCGTGCCCGGCCTTTTGTTTTTAAAGAAAATGCCAAGCTGTTTTCCAGAGTCGTTGTACCATTTCACATCCCCGCCAGTGATGGATGGGTCATCCAGTCTCTCCACTTCGTCAGCAGCATTTCATAAGGTTGCTGTTTTATTTTGGCCGTTCTGACAGGTGCGTCATAGTATCGCAGTGCAGTTTAGTTCGCCTTTCCCTAGCAGCTAATCATGTTGGACATCTCTTCCCTGGCTGTTCTCTGTATTTCCTCTTTAGGGAATAGTTTTTTCATGTTTCTTTTGCTGACAATTTTCTAATTGAATTGTTTGAGGTTTTTTTTTTTTTTTTTTTTTTAAACTCTTGAGTTTAGAGAGTATATATACAAGTTAGTGTCTAGAATACAGAGCTTGCTATGGTTTGAATACTTGTCCTCTCCAAAACTCCTGTTGAAACTTAATCTCCATTGAGGCCGTATGGAGAGGTGGCACCTTTAAGAGGCGGTTGGATCACAAGGACTCTGCTCTCATGAATGGATTAACCCATTCGTGTGTTAATGGATTAATAGATTAACGGGTTAATGACTTAATGAGATATTGTGGGAATGGGACTGGTGGCTTCATAAGAAGGGGAGGAGAAAACTGAGCTAGCCCAGGAGCACACTCAGCCCCCTTACCCTGAGACGCCCTGCGCTACCTCTAGACCCTAAGGAGAGTCACCACCAGCCAGAGGCCCTGACCAGATGCGGCCCCTTGCCCTTAGACATCTCAGGCTCCATAACTGTAAGAAAGGAATTATTTCTCTTTATAAATTACCCTGTTTCAGGTATTCTGTTATAAACAACAGAAAACAGATGAAGACAGAGCTAGATTCTAGGTATTAGTTCTTTGCCAGATAGGTGGTTTGCAAGTATTTCAATAGTTCAGCATTTTACATTTAAATCTATGAACCGTTTTGAGTTCATTTTTGTATAAGTCGTTTAGGTCAAGGTTACCTATGGATATCCAGTTCAGCACAATTGTTGAAACAACTCTCCTTCCTCCATTAAATTGCTTTTTACCTCTGCCAAGTATCCCCTGGCTGCCCTGGAGTGGCTGTTGTGAGGCTCTGTTCCGTTCCAGCCATCGATGTGTCTGTTCCCCTGATGGGACCACGGTCTTCACTATGGAAGCCACACAGGAAGTCTTGAAACCAGATAGAACAATTTCTTCCATTTTTAAAAAAGCTGCTTTAACTATTCTAGTTCCTTTGCCTTTTCATACACATTTTAGAATAATCTCGTCCGTATCTAGAGCAGCTCTTGCTGGGCTTTTGGTAGGCATTGCATGAAAAGCATGTCACGTTGGGGGAGCTGACGTCCTTACGCAGCTGGGCCTTCCGATTCACTCAGTCTGGACCTCGGTCGGTCACGGTTTTTCTTTTGCTGATTTCAACAGCATTTTATAAGATTCGACGTCTGGACACTGCACACGTTCTTTTATGTTTATGCTTAAGCATGTCATTTCCTTTGCAGTAACTGCGAAAAGTGTGCCTTTCACTTCTATTTCCTCGTGTTCACTGTCAGTATATAAAACATAATTGAGTTTTGTGTGTTAATCTTGGGTCCTGTGACGTCGCTGAACTTGTTAGCTCTGAGGATGTTTCCTGTGGATTCACCGAAGCAGCAGTTCTGCCCGCACGCCTCCCGCGCCTACTCTCCCGCGGAGATTGTGGAAAACTGGCTGATTTGTTGCAGTGTTGTTGGAAAGGGCCCAAGACAGAAAACTGCCAACATGTCCATCGGTGGGACACTCGTTAAAGAAATCACCCTCAGCCCGCGCGACGGGCAGCAGTTAAAGTTCTCCAAGCTGTGCTTTAAGGGACCCATGTACATAACGTGTGAAATTGGGAGCAAAATTGAAAACAAATTAGACTCCGCATGCGGATGAGATTGCATTCCCATAAAGGAACCTGGCACAGGTGAGAAGTCAGTAGGCCTGACCACTGGTGGCAGCTGTCCCGGAGAGTGCCTTTATTCCACCATTCAGAGCGTTAAGTCACCTGAGACAGGAAGGACGGAAGCCCCTGCTTGCAGGCCAGGCCCCCGCAGCCCTCCCATGACCTGTCCCGTCTCTGGACACAGCCTGCCCTCCCCTTGCAGTCCTGGCCCCTCCCCATTCCACCTCCTGTGGGGAGCAGCGGTTCCCAATCCACCAGAACGTGGCCCTTCCTAGCTGTCCTGAAGCCTCCTTGTTGCTCCTTGGAAGACCCAGACCAAAAAATCAAAGGAGCACCCTGGCTGCCTTCTGGAATGTTCCAGAGCTCTCTGAATGTGACTTCTTTCTGAGATGGTCCCCAGAGCTCTTGGGGGCCCACAGCTTCCCTCTTGGAGTTTTGGGGGTGGCACCCCACAAGTTCCCACCCCTGGACTCCTAGGTCAGGCCTCCTCCCTGACGGCAGCCCACACGGGGTGAAGGTGCAGGCAGGGCAGGGGCCTGGTACCACCCTCGGACCCTGGTCAGAGGTCACAGGTGGGGCTTTCACCTGTGGCACCTTCCAGGTGGGGACTTCCTCCTGAGGCCCGGCCTCAGGGTGACACCTGCTCTCAGGAAGGGTCTCTTGATCCGGGATGAGGGGTGGCGTTCTCTCTTCTGGGAGCTCCTAAATCAGGGATATGGGTCAATGAAAATGAAAGAAACACTGTGTTCTATTTTTTCCCCCAAAATACAGATTTGTTGCCCATGTGACCGTAAAACATGAACCAGATGATGAGCCTCCCTTTGTTAAAGTCCCCAGCGGCCTCTGCCTGTCCCGACAGCCTTGCCTGTGTCTGTTCTCTTTCAAAGGCCTGAAGTCATCCTGTGGCCTTGGCACTAGCAGGGGAGTGTGACGTCGCTGTGCGCAGGGAGGCCGGTGCAGCCCCCACAGACGAAAAGCAAACCCTTGGGCCCCTGGACCTGGGCCTGCGGCAGAAGAGGCTCGGGCTGGGAGCGGCCGTGGGGGACTGGCCCAGGGAGAAGCCCGTGGGGTGGGGAGTGCGCCAGACGCAAAGCCAGAGTCCCACAGAGTCCCAGGGCTCTCGCTGCCTGTGTTAGAGTCTAATCTGCCCATTGAGGGGCTTTCAAGTCCTCTCCTGTGAGGGTGTAAGGAAGGGGGTCCCTGATGGCCTCCCAGAGCCCTGCTGCATCAGACAGGGTGCCCAGGTAAAGTCGAATTTCATACAAACAACAAATAATCTTTAGTACAATCATGTCTCATGCAATATTTTAGAAATTCAAAATTAATGTGGAGTGTCCTGTGTTTCTTCACTTTTGGCAACCCTTTCTCTGCCTCTGCACCTGGGACAGGCCCACAGCCCGTCCAGTGAGTGGCGAAGGAGTCCCTCAGGGTTCCCCTGCCAGCTGCCGCTCCCGAGCGTCACAGAGTGTCACCTTGCAGCTGGAGCTCTCTGCTTTGCTCTGGGGTGCACAGCACAGCCGGGCCACTGTGGGGATGGTGTGGCCACATCTACCCAAGCTCAACAGGTGCCTTCTGTGTCCGGCAATTCCGCCCCTAGGTCCACAGCCAGGGGAGGTGCAAGTGTGTGTCCACAAAGAGACTTTTGTGTGTTCATTCCCAATCTGGAAATGACACAGCTGCCCACTGACGGAAGACAAGATAGGTAAATAAGTTGTGGATATTCAGCAAATGCAATAACCTCAGCAACAGAACAAGAACACAGCGCTGACAAGCCCAGGGCAGACGCAGCGTGCAGAGAGGACGCGGAGCCTGTGGGAGTGCACCCTGTGTGATTCCATCCATGCGTGTGCGTCCACACAGACAAATTCAGAAGCGGAGAGGACCATTAGCCAGCAGTGGAAGGCAGACGGCGGCGGCTTCAGCTGGGGAAGGCACAGGGGACGCAGGACGGATCGCTTGGTGGACTCGTGCGCAAGAACTCGAGGTAAGCACGCTGCAGGCGCCACGCTGCTCAGGTGCCATGCGTCCCTTTTAAGTAGCGAAAAACACAAACTGCAGCAGCAGCAACAACAGCGCATCTAGCCACGCACAGAGACAGAGAGAGGCCCGGATGTGTGACACAACAACAACACAACACATCCAAAACACACACAGAGACAGACGCCCGGATGTGTGACACAACAGCAAAAACAACACATCCAAAACACACACAGACAGACGCCCGGATGTGTGACACAACAGCAACAACAACACATCCAAAACACACACAGACACAGACGCCCGGATGTGTGACAACAGCAACAACAACACATCCAAAACACACACAGACACAGACGCCCGGATGTGTGACACAACAGCAAAATCAACACATCCAAAACACACACAGAGACAGAGAGAGGCCCGGATGTGTGACACAACAGCAAAAACAACACATCCAAA